TAAGACGCTCGTCGCTAACAAATATCACGCAAAGGCTTCTAAATGCTTATTTGCAACACCAACAATTCCATTCTTGGGGCACATAATTTCAGTAGAAGGTGTGGCCGCTGACCCAGACAATATCACATCAATTCAAGCTTGTCCCCAACCCAAAAACTTTACCACACTTCGAGCCTTCTTGGGGCTTATGGGCTATTACCGCGGGTTTGTCCAACAATATGCCCATATCGTTGCCCCACTTACAAATATCTTAAAACAACCCATATTTACTTGGACAACCAAAGCCTAATCCGCCTTCCACCACCTCAAACAAACGATGTCAAACTTAATTACCCTAGCCTTACCGAATTTTAACGATACATTCGAAATCACCACAGACACCTCCGGAGTGGCCATTGGCGCTATACTCTTACAGCACAACAAACCTATTTCCTTCTTCAGCAAAAAGCTTTGCAATCGCATGCAAGCCAACTCCACTTACATCAGAGAACTATACGCCATCACAAAGGCCGTCAAAAAGTGGCGCCAATATCTTCTAGGGCGGCGCTTTCGAGTCTACACGGACCACCAAAGTCTTAAACACCTATTAACATAAACCATCCACACCCCCAAACAACATAAGTGGCTCACAAAACTCATGGGCTTTGATTCCGAGCTTCACTTTAAACCGGGCAAACAAAACCAGGTTTCAGATGCCCTCAGCAGGATCGAGACACCCACACTTATGACTCTCTCAACAACCGCTAACTGGCTACAAGAATTACGATCATATTACCTCACCAACCCTGAGGGACAAAGAATAAGACAAGAGTTGGAGCAACAACCACACACATACCCACAACACACACTTCACAACGGCCTGGTATACATCTAAGGCCGTTTATTTATTCCTAACGTTCCTAGTCTTCGAATTTCTCTTTTGCAGGAATTCCACAGTTCAACACTCGGTGGACACGTGGGTATTCAAGCCATCACACGCCATATCGCTGCCTCGTTCCATTGGTCCAACTTGAAGAAAGAAGTTACAGAGTTCATAAAGAAGTGTCACGTCTGTCAAACAACCATATATCCAACTCACAAGCCATTCAGATTACTTCAACCTCTCCTAATTGATGGGTTTTGGTATAATACAACATCCTATGGTGCACATACAACCCTAAATACCTTGGATCTATGTTTTCACTAATTATACATGCAAATGGTTTCCAAGGTATTAATCTTACAACTAGCATGCATTTAACATAAAAATATAATATACTAGTTAGCATGACATACCTTTTGATGGAGCTTGAATTCTTGGTGTAATTGGCCTTAAAGAGCTTAGCCTCAATAGTGTGGAAGCCTCAAATGGAATCACAACACACCATGGATAAAGGATGAACTTGAGAGAGAATATGCACAAAAAAGACACCATGAACTCTGAAAGGATACAAGTGGCAATTTTGGGCAATGAAGTATCTATTTATATGTGGGATTTATAGGGTCATGGATATAACCCAAATCCATACCCATGGGTTTTATGATCCATGGTTCATGTGACCCAACTCTTTATGTATCCATACATAAACTTGGTCCAACATGGATCCTAAGCCCAACACATATAAATATAACTAATTATCATAATTAGTCCCCATAGATTTAATTAGTCTCTTTTGATCACTAAATTAATTCCAAATTAATTATTGATCAATACTAATTAAAACATATGATTTCTTATTAATATATTATTAATTATAATATATTAATAAACCATAAATAAACTTCTCTCAAAAGTCCAACCTAACAAATTGTCCCGATGATATGCAACCCAAATGGACCATGCTAATCTCGGTCGAATACATACTAATAATAGTTATGGGCTTAGACACCTAATTCAACACCAATTCCATCATCATCCTGGGCAGACATCCATGGACTTCATCACTTATTTACCCCATTCTGCTGGCAAGATAGCCATCTGGATCATTGTAGATAGACTCACAAAGTTTGCGCATTTCCTAGCCCTCTCCACACAGTTCACGGCCACCTCACTAGCTACACTCTTCCTCAAAGATATCTACCGAATCCATGGATTACCACAATAAATTATTTCTGATTGTGACCCACTATTTGTCAGCCATTTCTAGACACAATTATTCAAGCAAATAGGCACTAAACTACACCACTCGAGTGCCTACCATCCCCAAATGGACGGGTAAACTGAAGTGGTCAACTGCTGCCTTGAAACATACTTACGAGCTTTCACTTTTGAGAACCCCCGCTCTTGGTATCGTTACCTATACTTGGCTGAATTTTGGTACAACACGAGCTTTCACTCTGTCATCCAAATGACACACTTCAAAGCCATGTATGGAAAGGACGCTACAGCCATCCATGAATATCAACCAGGCTCTAATCACACAACATCCATAGACTATTCTCTACAAGAACATCAACGAATTATTGACAAGCTTAAACTCGCTCTTTCCCAAGCACGTGAACGCATGGTAAAACAAGCCAACAAGAAACGACAATATAAAGAATTTAATGTTGGCGATAAGGTCTACCTCCGTTTAAAAAATTATCGCCAACACTCGGTTGAAGTACGCGAGAATCAAAAACTTTCCAAACGTTTCTTTGGACCTTACACCATTCTCCAACGTATTGGACCGATAGCATACCGTCTAGACCTACCAGAAACATCTCGTGTACACCCCGTCTTTCATGTTTCCCTCCTTAAAGAGAGCCATAGCGATGAAGTTGCAATAGATTTTCCCACCGAATGGGTTACAGACCTACCTCAAACACAGCCAGTTCCAGAAGTTGTCCTCCAAATTCGCAAAGATGACATGGGCAAAACTCAGATACTTTTACAATGGTGCAACCAAGATATATCCGAAGCAATTTGGGAGGATCTATACGATATCCAACTCCGTTTCCCTGAATTCAAAACCGGACTCGAGGACGAGCCCATTCTCAAAGGGGATGGTATTGTTATGGACCAACTTGCTTAAGATGGAGTCTATAACAAAGTTCCAACTAATCCACAGAGGCCCAAGCGTTTGATAAAGAAGCCCAGTCGATACTTGGACTAAAACGTGCTCATGACCAAGTCAATAGTCAAGCTGCAAGTCTGCCAGTTCCTTGTAATTTTGCATGCATTTCCTGTTATTTTGGTTTCCACTACTAGCTGTTAAACCACGTTCCCACTTCCTAGATAGTAGTTGCATATTTGTTTCCTACATGAGTATTTAAACTTAGTAAGAAGTAATGAATAAACATCAGAAAACTGCTCCATACTCTGTCTTTTCTTGTGTGTTCTTGGGAGTTAGGCGTACTCGAACAGGTCACTAACAATAAGTCTGGGAGGGATAAGGTGTGCATAGTAATGGAATGGAGAATCACATCTATGTCTTATACTCCTCAAGATGCTCACATAGATCCACTGAAGTAGGTAAGATAAATGTTTGATTCAATCCTGATAGAACGATCGAGGTGCATATCATCAGGATTGTAAGCGACCTTCTTGGTTTTTTTACATATAATTATACTCATTTGGCTTTTTCAGCCTCAGATCTGAATGACAAAAGCCTTGATGATAGATGCTTTGTTAGGTGTTTTTCCAGATACATGAATATAATCTTCTTTACTAGGAATTTAGATGTCGTTTTTGGTGAGGATTTAGGTAATGTTTTGTTATTAACATTTTTAGATTTTGTGTAGATGGGAATGTTAATGTTGGAACAAAAGCTGTTGAAGGGATTACATTACCAAAATGTTGGACACTATCTGGGAATTTACTGTTTTCATGTGGTGTAGTAAATTGGGATTATAGCTCAATGATGCATGCTAGATAGGTGCAGAGTGTCTGGTAGCACAAAATATTAAATATATAATTAACTATATTTATGGTAAGTAAACTCAATTTCGATGATTGCCTTTGGATTTTACAATATTTATTAAATCTTTACTACCGTAACTTAAAAAGTAAACTAGATGTTTGTTAAATACATGATTGTAGTAAGCCATGTTGAATAATAACTTGAGGAATTTTAGAATGAATGAATGAAAGATTCATCCGTTAAGATTGGTGTTGGTAAAAGTACATTGATCAAATCGTGATAATTTTGTTTTTTATATACATTTGGCAACCACAATCATTTTAGGAGGAGTTGTTTGGTGGCAATCAGGTGTCAAAAGTTTCTATATTCTAAAAAGAACAAATAAGAAAAAAATGGTTATTTGCAATCAATTGATTAACCCTATCTAAGGGTGAAATAAGAACATCTCTAGATGACGTGTAAATGATGTCTTGATTTATTTATTTATTATCATCATCCAATCCTATGTCATTTTTAAAAAAATATTCACTCACACTCAACAAACATAAACTAAATAACAATCTTATCACAACATAAAGGAAGAAGAACAAATCACTTTGAACTAACTCAAACGAACATACCCTAAATCAAGGGAGAAACGAGTCTGAAATATTTATATCATTCACTCAACACTATATACATGGGTTAAAAGTCGGTGCAACCCGTACCAAACCTGGAGGATCCGACCCATTCAGGATCTAGGCCTTCTTTTAACTTCCTAGGGGTGGTATTTGGCCCCTTTTTTATTTATTATCACATTAATATTAAAATAAAAGATAAAAATGTTAAAGACAATGTAAAAAAATAAATAAATAAAAGGACCTATTACTCATTCCAAATTCAACATGGATGAAATCTACTAGAAAACTTGCTGGGTTTATTTCCCGAAAAAATACAAACAAAGTTTTGTCTTCTATTCACTTAGGTCATTTCGTACAGTTTAAAAAATGGAGGGTAGGGTAGAAAGTGTTAAAGTGGTGAAAGATAAATTCGAGGGGCTGCAGAGTTATTAATAAAAGATGAAGGGATGACGCTTGTTTAACTGGAAGTTGGAAGTTGTATGTCTGAAGGCTTAATCCGATTCATCTCTCTTTCCCTCTATAAACATGTCTCTGTTTCACTTCACACAAGTAGGAATTGATCAAATCCCCAAATCCAAATACAAATCCAAATCCCCAAGATCACAACTTCTTCATTGATTGTTCTTCTTGACAATCATAAAACCCTCCAAATATCTCTCCGACTTCCAACCAATCTTGATTCTTGTCAAGATGAAGAACAGCAACACCCAATGGTGGAAACCAGGCAAAGATCATAAAGAAATACCAGACAAATCGGAAATCAAAAATTCTAATTCAGATAATCAATCCTCAAAACAAGTCTTGGAGGACAATGCAGGTTCAAGTTCTTCTCCCACGAAATCAAAGGAAAGAAAATCAACTTTCAAGGGGATCACTAACAAACTGTAAGTTTTTAAACATTAATAGTGTTCTTGATCTTAAAATAATCTGAATTATTCAATTTGTTTCAACAGTTTCGGCAATGCTATCAAAAGCATCGTTAAGCAAAAAAAGGGAGAATCTGCTCCAAAAACTTCAGAAGATTCTTGGAATTTTGATGAAGAAGAATTTGAAGAGGAAAAGGGTTGGCGGGATATTCTTTCTAAATTAAAAAATATGAACCCGTTTCAAAATGTAAAATATGGTAATTATTATTATTATTATTTTATATTTTCCAAAATTCTTGATAACAGTACATTATTATAATGTCGAAATATTTTTGGTTTTCTTGTAGATAAGAAAGACGTTAGCTATCATGGTGTTAGAAGTCGTGCAACGAAAATGTGGAAAGAAGTTCAATTGCTTGAGATTCAGGTATAAAAAACATTTTTATAGTCCATTTTCTGTTTTGTAAAATGACCTAAAGGATTAATTAAGTAATGAAAATATTTCCGATCTCATCTTATTACCCCCCACCGCCGGTGCCGGTGACCGGCTCTAGTTTCTCCTGGGTTTTCTTGATTTCCGATGGTGTGATGGGAAAAACCCACAAATTTGGATTGGAAGTTTGCGTGTGGTCGCGATTCAAAGAAAATATGTGTCGGATTGATTTGGTAAGATGATGGAGGGGAGGGCAGCGATCTTGCCGGAGAAGAAGAAGGGATGGTGGTTCATCCTCATGATTAGCGACAGATGAAGCTCCAAAATAGAGAAGAAATGAGAGGGTTATCAATCATCGATGTGTGATTTCCATTTCATCAGTTCATTGTGTATATCCTCTTACCTAATCATCTTCTCCTAGTTTCTACATATCCACCGGAAGGCGTCGATCTGCATATTCGTCGATCGTCGATCAAGGTCGGAGGTGTAGTTGGTGATGGAGGACGAACGGGAGAGTATTGAATTAGAAGGGGGAGAGTCCACGTTTTAGGGTTCATCTGGTGACCTGGTTTCAGGGAGGGCAGAAGGAATATGGGGAAGGGAAGGGCGTCGGGGGTGTCTTGCAGTGGCCGGAGATATCGTCGGAGTATTGGAGTCCGGGGGTGGTGATGGTGGATCCGAAGAAGAAGAAGAACAAGGGGGGAGAGACACGAGTTATCAATGTCCTTAAGGTTTAGGGCCCATTAGTTTTTTAAAAGAAAATAATAATTAATTTTATAATAAATAAATCAATAAATAATAACTAAATTAAAAAAATAATACTAAAATAGAACAATATGGTTATTTTATGTCTGAATGAAGCTTATAAGTTTTAAATTAATGAAAGATGGTATGAGTTAATTTTTAAAAATAATAATTGAACGTGTATTTGTCATCTCCACAAGGATGATTCTTGTAATTTACTTTATATTTAATATCCGTTCTCGTTTAATAATAATTAAAAAAAATAATAATAAGAGCAAAATAATCTTTTTTTAATAAGTGTAATTGGTACCAAAAATGCAACAAAACTAAATGGTAATGATGAATTAAGTTTAAAAAAAATTAGGAACTAAACACATAAAATACCTAAACTATAGGAACCATCCATGTAATTTATTTGATTTCGGATTTCAAAAAATGGATCTGAATTATCTAAATTAAATTCAAATCTGATCCGATCCAATCAAATTATAACTTTGTTGGATCGGTTTTTATAATTCGGTTTTCAAAAAACAAAACGTTTTAAAACCACATATAATTAGAATGTCCAACTTTATTGAAGAAACAAAAACAAATTATTTTAGTTGTGGTTTAAAATTTATAAACAACTATTAAAAAGTATATTGTAGTTTAATATTTTATAAATACTTTTTTTTAAGAGAAAGTTCCTAATAAGATCTTTTATTAAATGAAACTTTTTGAATCTATTTGAAAAAATAAATTACTAAATTAATAAATAACTATAAATATATATTAAAAATAAATGAATAATATTTATTTGGTTTTTATTTTATAAACCAAAACATGAGAAATCTAAAATAATAAAATCAATCAAAAAATCTGAATATTCGAACCAAATAGTTCAATCAAAACAATCTAATTAAACAATTTATTTTATTTAAACAGTGAACAACCCTAAACTAATTTTAGTACTTTTCATACAGGTTAACGCGGCACATGAAAGAGGAGATATTGAAAAATTTAATTACCTAACTGAGAAGGTAATAGTTGCAAAATATAGTTTTTAATAAATTGTTTGTGTTTATTTATTTATTTATTTATTTATTTGTAGAGAGACAAGATGAAGATAATGGCTAAATCCCAAAACATGAGAGATAGCTATATACTGTACAAAGCAAGGTTGACCCATCTTCATGTTTAAATAAGTCTAATAGTTTAATCTATTAAACTATATGGAATAATTTTTCTAATCTAATACTATTACATTTAATTTTTGTTTTCAGAAATAAGGGTATTAACAATCGTTATACAATCGACATCCATGATCAACAAAGGCGAGAAGGAATAATGATCGTGAAAATAAACTTGTGGCTCGCTTATAATCTCAAAGGTAAATTAATATTAATAATTTATTATATTTAATGATTTTTGCTAATTTATCGTTTTTTATTATTCAGGCATAAAAGTTCTGAACATAATAACTGGATACGGTAGCAAAACCGGTAAAAAAGTGTTGAAGGATGAGGTATGAGTCATTTTTTTTTGTCTTTTTGGAAAAGTTAAAAACAAAAGATAGATTAAAAAGAAATGGCAAACACCCTTTCTATATATAAATTTTTTCCTATAACCCATATCTTTTTTTGCAGACTATTGCACTTTTAAATAAAAAAGGCATTGATTTTGAAGAGAAATGTAAAGGAGGAGTAATCCGAATACATATTGATCCTAATCGGCATTTTACACTTTCTGATTCCGATGTTGAAGATGATGATAACTGCGGCGACGAGTACAATAATGACGATACTTGGTGTAATTAATGTGGATGTAAAGTGAGAAATGTTAAATTGACAAATATTAGTTTTGCATGGATTCTCTATAGCAGCAAGTAACTGTTTTCTTGTTCGCTGATACCTTTGGTAGTATCTTCTCTTCATTCCCTTTAACAAAATATTGGAATATAAAATACCAAACAATAAAGAACCAATTATTTATGTTATATCTAAATCACATGTTTTAAAACACAATTTGAACAAGTATTCACCAAAATTATATACAACAAGCTTTAATAAGTTGTAACCTTGAGTCATTAAGTTTTCAAACATGATTATCTTATCTTTCTAGAAAATAGCCTGCTTTCACGTTTTAATTACATATTGTGAGTTGTGAGAATAGAATAACCCTTTAGAGGTAGCCTAATTGGAATTGTTTGATGGATATTTAATACCGAAATACATATAACTTCCATTGGATACGTAACAATTTTTGGTCGAATAACTCAGCCATTTAATAATAACTAAATATTTTTTTTTGAGTTTTTTTTTTAATACATTTAACTTTCTTTAATCTGTAACGTTCTAAAAACCATAACAATTTTTTTTTCTTTCATAAAAACCATAAGTCATACAAGTATTGTTTACAAAACATTGTCATAGAAATTAAAGTATCAAATAACATCTCTCAACATAAAAACCATAGGATGATGTGTACAATAATACATTAGTCTTCTCAAGATGATGCCAAAATTTAGTGAGTTTTCCAAAATACCTCACACAACAATACACATACAATGCATGCACACATGAGCCTTTAGTTTACTTGGACCACCTCGCAAGACCTACAACATGCTTGGACCGCTCTCTCAAGCCTACAGTCTATCTGGAACGCCCCTCGGGGTCTACAATATAGTTGGACCACTCCATTGGGCCTACAGTCTGACTGGACCGCCTCACAAGGTCTACATTTGTAACACCCGCAAATTCTGGGTAGTCAATTTAGAGTGAATAAGCATAAAAAAAAATGAATTTTTGATAAATAATCTTAACTAAGTTATAGTATATGTCACAAGGATTTCGTACATATAAAGAACGTTGAAATCCGAGTTATAACGAAAAGTTATGACCGGTTGAAGTTTTACGATTAAACCGACACCACGTTGTGTGACGTAAAAAGTGAATTTTTGATAAATTACTTTTTAGCTTTAAAGATCTAAACAAAATCTATAGTATACATTAAAACGAACGTACACAAAAAGAACATCCAAATCTGACTTCTATGAGGAAGTTATGATTTTTCTAAGATTTAGCATAATAGTGCACAACCCGAAAATTGAAGTTTAGATCGATCGATTTTTAGCCGACACAACCTAAATGAGAATTGAAGATCTAATTAATAAGAACTCAACAATATAAAGATAGACGATAACGAATGTCTGATGGCAAAGTTATGAATTTTTAACGAACTTTATTTGTCTAAGCCTGTTAAAATATAAGTTTAAAAATAAAGTCAACATTAGCCGAAAAATCTAAACAAAAGCTTTAGGTCACGCCGCTACCTACATGTGGATATAAAGAATGTCAAAAAACAGAGCTTGTATGTGAAAGTTACGAAATTTAGAAGATAATTAATTTTTGAGTTAATTCTGAAGTTGACACGTGGTGAGATCCCAACCCCACCTTCTTCCCCATGTCTTTGCATGAGATGGCGACGCCTGGTAATTTTGAAACATCCCCAAAAATACAAGCCAAAATTTTGGTTTTTAAAATCATTTATCAAACATAGATATCATTGCCATAGTGTAAAACCATAAAACATGTATCTCGAAAACTCATAAAATCTGATAAACATATAACAGTCTTATAACAAATATCTAAGTAAACTCCCAGGCTAATCAACTGCGATGTGTGCCATGCCATCAACTCGAGCATTTCCCTTTGCTAGCTGAAGTACCTGAAACCAAAACTGAAATTGTAAGAACGAAACTTAGTGAGTTCTCCCAAACTACCACATACCATACAAAGCACATATATCAAATAACATAACTCCGGGACTATTCCCACTACATTGGGACGAATCCCGACATCGGCTTACCCGACATCAGATTCCTGCCCGGCATCGGGCTCACTCCGACATCCGGTCGCACCGGGAATCGGGCTCACCGTGGCATCAGGCTTGCCCCGACATTAGGCTTACCCCGACATTAGGCTTACCCCGACACATACATAACATAATCACATAATCTGCATCGGGCTTGCACCGACATCGAACCGAAGCCTGGAACAAACAAAATATAACACGTAAACTAGCATACATCGGGCTTACCCCGAAATACATAATACACATCATAATGACTAACATACATCGGGCTTACCCCGGAACACATAACATGTAACATATTCACATCTACTACATCGGGTTTTCCTGGCATTGGACCGGAGTCCGGAACACATAACACATAACACATAAACATGCATGAATCACACAAACATCAAGCATACATAACTTCTTCTCGGGACCGCCCAAACATCGGACCGAAGTCTGGAATAAACTAAACATATAAATTGCATCGGGTTAACCCCAACATCCGGATTACCCCAGCATACTCTACTACTTAACGGGTCGGCCTTGGTGCCTTACACCCATTCCTACCGGAGGAAAACTCACCTCGTGTGACTAACTGCTGCAACTCTCGGTGAGAAATCTCTGTCTGCTGTTCGGTGACTTCCCGACTATAATTTCCATAAAGACAATTAGTCAAAAACTGATAACTGATCTTAGGGTAAAATGACTATTTTACCCCTGGCCAAAGTCAATCATCCTAGTCAAAGTCAACATTCAGTTGACCCGACTCGCAAGTTGGCCCACCAACTCGTTGAGTCCCTATACTTTCCCCTATCCCCAAACCAACTCTACTCGCCGAGTCTTAGCAAGGGCTCGACGTGTTCTCCTTCAAGTGATATCGGGACAATCTTCAACGGACTTGCCGAGTTCAACCTTGAACTCGTCGAGTTCATATTCATCATAAGAACATGCCTAATCTGTGACTCGCCGAGTTGTATGAACAACTCGTCGAGTCTATCCTCATGGGTTGGGAGATTGCCTTGGACCCGCCTTATAATTTCATACACTCGCCGAGTCCCATAGCTTCCAGGTCCGTAACTATGTCTATTTCGCTGAGTCCTTACCCTGGGCTCATCTAAACTATCACACCCCAAACCAAGGATGGCGGAAACGTCCGGGGGTGGAGGACTTCACGTTTAGTATCACAACAACGAGTATAATAGTGCTCAAAGTACAAACAACCAATATAAATATAATTGAAAAAGTTACATCGTAGAATACGTTTACATGTTTCTAAATAAATTACATTATGTTGAAAAAAATGAAATGTTTGACGCCTTAGTGTTCCATTCTCAAAAGTCGCTGGTTATCTGTTTTACTGATTCCATGAGAATACAAGTAGTTTGAAAAGTATCAACAATTAAGTTGGTGAGTTCATAAGCTTTTGAATGAAATGTTGAAATCCTTTCTTTGTAAAAATATGTTTGTTCTAGAAAATCCAATATTTTCCTTTTAAGAATGTATTGTAGCCTTAAATGTCAAGACCAAAAATGAACTAGTATTTTCCATATAAGTTGTAATTTATGCAAGTTTAAATTGACATAAACTCGATTAACCGAAGGAAAAACCCCCGTAAATCTTATGTTATGTTAATACCCCATGTGAGTTATTATAACCATGCTATGACTCAGTCGGCCTTGTATACGACATTCTCCAGGCATCATAATGTTAATGACATTTATCACCCCAGACCTGCCGGTTTAGCTGTTGCATGCAACTAAGGTGTGGGTTTGTCAGACCTAGTATAGATCTATATACTGTTGGGTTTTTTTTAGCATTATAACACTCCTATGGTGTACATGCAACCCTAAATACCTTGGATCTATGTTTTTTCTATTATATATGCAAATATGAATATTCCAAGGTATTACACTAACTAGCATACAATCTTTATGATACTTGGGTAATAACATAAATAGAATACATGCCTTGTTGATGTAGCTTGAATCCATGAAGCTCGAGAGCCTAGTGCCCTAAGTGTGACACCTCAAATGGTTCACACAACATCATCAACACTTGGAATAACCATGAGAAGAAGACATGAGACACGGAAATCGGCTTGCCCTCCATTTATGCACTAGCACCAATTTTTTGAACTAAAGGGGTTCTTATATAGTGTGCACATTAGGGTTACACCATGTAACCCATGACTTTACCCATTCCCTATGCTCCATGGGTTTTAACCTCCATGGAGTATCCATGGGTCACCACATGGGTTAAACCCAACATAAGGAATCATGGATCATAAGCCCACATATATAAGAATGAATGCTTTACAATCAATCCCCATATATTTAATTAGTCTCTTTTGATCACTAAATTAAGTCCAAATTAATTCTTGATCAATACTAATTAAATAACATGATTTCATATTAATATATTAGAACTTATAATATATTAATATGTCACAATGTCCTCTTCTCACAAACGGTCTATCCAAATGTTCCGATGCCATGCAACCCAAATGGACCATGCTGAGTCGGTTCAAGTATATATCAATTATAGTTATGGACTTAGACACTAATCCAATAGTCTCCCACTTGGATAAGTCTAAAACTATTATTGAGTATGACTTTAAAATCTAACTGACAATTGTAGCTCTCAAAAGCCGCTGTCGAACTCTGACCTTGTCGATGAACTTTGATCTTTGTCAATGACTTGTCCATTAGATAAGGGATCATATATTCCTCCATTCTAGATATCATATGGATTGAGACATGGATTAAAATCATTCTCTCTGTTCATTTTTTGTTTCCCGATTTCCGATTTATGATGATTGACTGACTGAACAGATCAAATAAGTCCTGGCTTGGCCAAGCACTCACATGTGTTTGAAGGATTTTGAGCATTCTAACACTCCTAAGTGTACATGCAACCCTATATATCTTGGATCTATGTTTTCTCTATTATACATGCAAATATGAAATTTCCAAGGTA